ATAGAGGGGTCTCGTTCTTTCCCTATTCGTATACTACGTGATACGGGCGCAGCACAATCTATCCTCCTGTTTAACGTCATTCCTGATATATCTACCGCATTTACTAATGAGTGTTCTAATTTCAGATCTCTCATCCCATTCTTCCTATCCTTTAGCTAAAGTGCACCTCCAATGTCCCTTGATTACTGGGGAAGTGCAAATAGCCATTAGGAAAGACCCAATGCCTGTGAGCGGCATTCATTTATTATTGGGTAATGACTTGGTAGGAGATCTAGTGGTTCCCAACATAAAGACAGTCGACTCTCCCTTACCTGTCAACTCCACCACTGACCTTGAAGAAACTATTCCTCACCTTTTCCCATCTTGTGCTGTCACCCGGTCACAGAGTGTGCGAAATGGGCCCTCTTCATCTGAAACCACCTCCAATATCTTACTACTCACAGAAGATCTGTACAATAAGACCATTAGTAAGGATGAGCTCATTAAAGCCCAACAATCTGATCCATCTTTGAATATGAAAGACCTTAGTGTGGACCATTGTACATCTTCGGCTTATCACCCACCGTCCCAAGGTTGCTTGGAACGGTTCCATCAAAACTTTCAAGTCAATGCTAATAAACTATCTCCCCTCAACTATATAGTCCATACTCCTGATCGCAGAAAAGATTCACAACTTGTTCACATTAATCTCATGAAACTTTACCATTCCAGGCAGTCAGAGGAAGACATCCCAGAGGCTATAAGCCAACCAGTATTGCATACGGTTTTGTCAGGGCCGGAGCCGGAGACAGATGACATGGATCTATTGGAGAATTTAGACTTCCCTCTACCTAAAGAAAACCCTGCTAACAGTCACGTACTAAACAACTTGGATGAGTATTTTTCTGTTCTGAATCCATCTCAAGCAAAAGATCTCACTAAGTTATTATCAAAATTTCCTAAAGTCACGTCAGACCTCCCAGGGTTTTGCAATATACTTAAACATGATATTAAGCTAATCTCAGATGATGTACAACCCATTAGGCAATCAGCCTATCGACTAAATAAAAAAAAAAAAGAGATTATGAAAAAGGAGGTAGATTTTTTGTTAAAACATAACTTAGCTGAGCCTAGTACCTCCCCCTGGGCTTCACCTTGCCTTCTCATTCCAAAACCCGATGGCACTTTTCGTTTCTGTACCGATTATCGTAAAGTGAACCAGGTCACTGTCTCAGACTCCTACCCTTTACCTTTGATTGAAGATATAATAGACAGCATAGGCTGTGCAAAATTTATCAGTACCGTGGACCTGTTGAAAGGATATTATCAAGTGGGACTCACGGATAGGGCAAAAATAATCTCGGCATTTATAACTCCATTTGGTCTTTTTCAATATTTGGTTATGGCGTTTGGCTTTTCTAATGCTCCGGCCACATTCCAGATTGCCATCAATTTCCTAATTCAGGACCTAGGTGGGACGTTCGCCTACCTGGATGACCTGGTGGTGGTGTCGGACGGCTGGGACGAACATCTGGTGCGTTTGGAGATACTGTTCGCACGACTGCAAGAGACTGGATTCACCATAAACCTGGCTAAATCTGCTTTTGGCCGGGCCTCAGTGACTTACCTGGGACATATCGTTGGGCATGGTATGGTGAGACCCAAGGACGCAAACGTTAAAGCCATCTTGTCCTTCCCCACTCCAAGGACGAGGAAGGAACTCATGCGCTTCCTGGGGATGTGCGGCTACTACCGTCGGTTCTGCAGTAACTTCTCCAGCGTGGCCGGACCCCTCACAGACCTTACCAGTTCTGCGGTCCCTTACATCTGGAACCAGAAGTGCGACCAGTCTTTCCACCGCCTCAAAGCCTTCCTTGCCTCCAAGCCTGTAGTCCACCCCCTGACTACACCTTGCCCTTCCATCTGCAAATCGACGCTAGCGGTGTCGGAGTTGGGGCTGTGCTCGTACAACCCGACCCAACCACTGATGTCCTTCACCCTGTGGCATATTACTCCGCCAAGTTGAAAAAACATCAGACCAACTACTCGACCATAGAGAAGGAGGCCCTGGCTCTGGTGTTGGCAATAAAGAAGTTTGAATGTTACCTCCAGTCTTGCCCACAAACAACCCTAGTCTTCACCGACCATAACCCACTCACGTTCATCCAAACCAACAAGACCTCCAACCAGCGAATCCTCCGCTGGGCTCTCCTCACCCAGCCCTATAATCTACAAGTCCGGCACATAAAGGGGGTGGACAACATGATTGCGGACTCCTTATCCCGAGCTCCAGTGGAAATGCAGCAGCTACTCTCCAGACGCACCAGGTGATCACCTCCTTCGCGCCCGGACGGAGGTCTTTGGAGGGGGGGTGTGTTACGAACCCTCCACCGATTGTCCTGGATCTACCTACCCAGCACCACGAGCAACGCCATCTAGGGACGAGACACGAGTATGACTTCGTCTTAGTTAACACTCCGGGGTTTCCCTTCTCCATATCCTGGTTGTTGCGTCACTTCCTCCAAGTCTTCTTTGTGAGCTCCAATTCGAGGAGAGAGCACTACACTCTGGGAAGTGACCACAGGATCACCTATCCTCTAAACCTACGGCTCAGTGACTACCTACCGTCTTCTACAATACTCAGCCTTACTCGTCAGCCATCTCAGCTCCTCACTTAAGTATTTGTAATCTTGTATTGCCTTCCCCACGTCCACTTGCTTCAAAATTGTTTTTGTTGTATTAATATGTATATACTGTTAATGTTTAGGTTAAGTATGGTTAAGGGTAATTTATAAGCTGAATATTTTGTTAAGGAATTTATGGTACTTTATTATGCACAACGAAAACTCGCATCCTTTGTCTACCCTTTTATAGTCCGATTGTCTTTGTTTTTTTATTGTTGTTACCTGTTGGGATCTGGGTAGACCTTTAACTATATTCTAAATCCCCAACTCGTAACAGTACTCACATAGATATACCACATTGGTGGCGACAGGAACAACACAAATAAATTAAGTATAAGTAACAAGTGACACTCAAAGGATGTGGACTGTATGACAAGAGGACGGAACTGACTCAAGTCAGTTGGTGGGTCCTATATATAAGGTCGGCTCCCGCCACGCGACCCGCCGGTGGGTCGTTTAACGATGCAGATGGTCGTTATAGAACAAAGAATGCTGGTTACAATACAAAATAAAGAAACAAGATGGGCTTGAACAAATAATGACAGTTAAAACCTTAACAACACAGGGTAAGGTGACTAGAATATATAAAGTAAATTTAACACATCATTACAGGAATAATATGGAACATGGGAGCATGTTATATGTAAAAAAAAAATAGAAAAATACGACACGGTCGTAACAATATATATATATATATATATATATATATATATATATATATATATATATATATATATATATATATATATATATATATATATATATATATATATATACGTACATAATAATGTCATCCACTAATCCCCACACTAGTTCAAAAATGATACTATGTTACATAAATTTTTTTGTCAGTGGCCCAAGGTTAAAAATGCTTTGAAAACCTTGGATCTAGATGTAGGATAGTTATTTAGTGGGTCCCTTATTTGTCAACTGACCTGACTAGTCACGTCGCCCCCTTCTCTTAAGCTCCTCTACGTGTGTGTTGGTGTGGGGATTAGTGGATGACATCATTATGACCTGACCTCATGTTTAATAAGGTCACCCTGTATATTTAAGCCTTTCTCTGTCCATGCAATCCAGTTGCCTCTGAAGATGTCTTGAATAAAGACGAAAGCTAAGGTGCTCCGTTGTTTCTCTTTTCCCGTGTGATTTTATCAAGATTTATCTTCTCCACGTTTTCATTGTGGATCTACATGAAATATATGTATATATATATATATATATATATATATATATATATATATATATATATATATATATATATATATATATATATATATATATTCATTTATTTATTTTTATGCTGTGCTAGGGAGTTGCTGTAAGGTGAGGAGCTTGTTGAGGGGAGGTTGTAGTGGATTCCTCCCCGACATGCACCAGCCTTCTCGAATTCCCCAGCCTGCGCCTCCGGCGCCGCCCGGGGGTCAACTATCTGCCCACTCCTGCCCCCGCCTTGTGGGGCCTGACACCGCTGTGACCAGTCTCTTTCTACTCAGTGCCACCAGCAAGCAACACCTCCTCCTCCGCGTCAGCCGTGCCGCTGCCGCTCCCGCCAGCGACCTTGGCGTCCCTCAAGCCGCGTGCCCTCACTCTGGGCACCCTCACCACCCAGCTCTCTCTACTCAACGCTTATTACCATGCTACCTACCCAGCAACAAGCTACATTGTACATTCAATACAATATGTATACAGTGAGCACATTGTGAGTTTCCTTTCTCCATCCCATCCTGAGTGTGAACCAATATCTCATACCCCTTCAAGGTCTTATCTGTTTGAGAGAGTTGAGTGGAATCCTCTTCATGATGATAATGAAGTAAGTGGCAAATGACTTTGCCCTGGGAGAGGAGAGGAGACAGAGAAGGAAAGTATAGAAACGGGAAGTAAAGTAGTAGGGGGTGAAAGCAGGTGGGCTGTCCACCTAGCTGAGACGAGTTGATATGTTGGGGTGGTGGCCACACACAGCATCGCCTTCACTGAGAGGCTGTGAGCTTATATACACATCCACCGGAAGTAAGCGTCGCTGTTGGCCGAACCCCCGGACCGCAGTCCAGACGGCTAGGCTTGTCAGCGGAATCGGCTGATCAGCGACTAACAGCAGTGGCACTATCGTAGCTGTAGGGGAGAGTATCCACTACACATCTATTTACTGAAGCTGACTGAGATCTTTCTGTAGTTCTTCACAGTGCCAAATGAATTCATTAATTAAGTGTTGTTATTATTATTATTATTGTTGTTGTTATTATTATTATTATTATAAGATGTTGTTTGTCAGACTAATTTTTGGATTTTGTAAAATCTAATTCTGGTTGTGGAACTGATGATTATTTTTGAAATGATTTCGTGGTTTCACATTATATAAGAACGTTTTTTTATTTTCTCACACAAATATATTTTGGTAATTGTGAACTGTTAAAGATGGCGTCATCATAACAACAAACAACATCATTGACGACAAGCGTTAACAACTTGACATGGATCACAAACAAGAAGTTGAGGTTGGTAATGTTATTAACACACGGTGATATTGTTATTTATAGTTCCATTGATCAGGAGGGAATATTATCTCACTCTACATGTTGAAGTACACTGTCATTCTTCATCTTGTACAGTACGTTGTTGTCCTTGGTAACTGTTATGTCCCTGACCTTGATTGTTGTTTTAAATATACGTGTTGTTGCCCTTTAAGAGAGTTCTCACAGATGTTATTTAGTAAGACGAAGACGAAAAACTTATTCCACTTCTTAAGCTTTAATTAACACCTTGGATTGAATGTGGTGGAGCTTAATTTCTCGATCCTTATCTGCCTTGTAAATGTGTTGAGTAATCATTATTATGAGCTTTGAAAGCCTTTATGTATTAAAAATAAGTTGGTAGTGTAGGCTTATGCAAGGTGTCACAGCTCAAGATTGAATAACCCCCAAGTCCAGAAAACTGTGAGTGGTGAACTCTTGGAACAATCTGCCAGAAAGTGTTGTGTCGGCACCGAGTGTGAGCTCTTTCAAGACCAGACTTGACCAGCACTGGAACAGGTTCAGGGTGTCCGACTAATTACCCAAATGTACCCATATGTAGCCGCAATGAAGTCAAATAATGGTCGTACATGAATAAATCGGACTGCCAATCACTTCTCGACTAGTATTTGGTGTCACGAAGTCACAAAAAATTGGAAAACTTAATTTAATCTGAGTTAATAGATCGAGTGCATGTACCTAACCTAACCTCGACTTGTATTTGATGTCACGAAGTCACAAAAAATTGGTAAACTTAATTTAATCTGAGTTAATAGATCGAGTGCATGTACCTAACCTAACACAACTCAGATTAAATTAAGTTTACCAATTTTTAGTGACTTTATGATACCAAATAATAATCAAGAAGTGATTCACAGCCCGATTTACGCTTGTAGGACCATCATTTGACTTCATTGCGACTACATTTGGGTTCATTTGGGTAATTACTCGCTCCCTCGGTACAAGCACGCGATCTATTAACTCAGTTTAAGTTAAGTTTTCCAATATTTTGTGACTTCGTGACACCAAATACTAGTCAAGAAGTGGTTGGCAGTCCGATTTATTCATGTAGGACCATTATTTGACTTCATTGCGGCTACATTTGGGTAATTAGTCGGACCGGGTTCAGGTACATTCAGGAGCCGGTGCATGCCCAGTACTTGCCAACAGTGCGTAACAGAGACGTGATCGATCGCCCAAGTGGCTAATGAGCCGATCAGTGGTGAAGAGGATAAAAGGTAAAGAGGAAGAATAAGTATCCTTATTTTTCTCTTAATTTAACTTGGCTTTCTTACTTGTCCTCTGTAAAGGTCTTCCTGTAATTGGAATCTTTTATGGCATCTGATTGTTATGTTTATTTTAATGATTAGAATGTAGATCAGAAGTGGGATTAAGGACAAACTTAAGATGATCTCCTGAAATGGCATTTTTTTATTTCCCAAAGATTTGCAGAATGGAGCTACTGTACAATACTTTCATTTCTAATTTTGTTAATTATTGACGAGATAGCTGCTGCCAATTTTTCATTGAATTTTTTTTTTAAATGCCGCAACTTCATTATGTTTTCTACTGGACACTCGTAGTTTGAGCAAATGTTGAAAAGTGGTTCTTTCTAAATTAAACCTAACCTCATTTGATAAGAAATACAAACGGCAGAAGCTTTGTTAAAAAATCACACCAACCTAACCAAAGAAGCCTACCCAACCTTTCTTAACTTCCTAACCATGGGGCTTCATCCCCTGGAGTCTCCAGCAGATTAAGCAGAAAGAACTTTCTATGATATGGTGTAATTTTAAATTTTTTGTGGATTTGAGAGCAGCTGCCAGGACCGAGCTGCTCATAAATGTACACAGCATAGGCATTGATCGGGGCGCCAGCAGAGTGCGGCTGAATGTTTTGAAATACATCAAAATGAGTGGCTGTTTACATCCGAGATGCGGCTCACCGCCGAGAAAGACAAAGTAGTGCTCGCCTAGGTGCTTAATTATCTACCAAACAAAGCATTTCCCAGGAAATGAATATCATATCAGAATTCATTGATAAAAATGAACCAACCAGATCTAACTTAACCAAACATAATCAAATCTAAGCTAATGGAGCTGGGTTAGGTTTGGTTGTGTTAGGTTTAGTTAATTATACTACACCCAATACAGTCTCAAGATGCTGTTTTTCATTTTTATAATGCTACTTTCTGTGTTGGGTAGGCAGTGTACAGAAGGTGTTTTATTTGTGGCCGTACAGTATTTCTGTTAATATTATGTGTTTCTGTGTTTCATTACAGATTAACCAACAAATATAGCCCAACTTGACTGGCTAGGAAATGAACTCTTCTTATTGCATTGATTTAGATTGGAGAAATTGTTTCGCTATTTGTATACTGCACTTGCTATAGGTATGGACTTTTATGAGTGGAACACATATGAGTAACGAGGACCCACTGTATACTTAACAGTTGTATGTGTTAGGTTTATGTAGAACTTATAGTAGGTAACATCACAGTTCATTTACTACCATTTCCTGTACTTCCCATCAGGTTAGGTAAGGTAAGGTTAGGTAATCATTAACTGACAGTAGACATTCTGGGAATATGTTACATTTTCAGAGTCAATTTAATGGTCATAAACCTTTTAGTCACTTCAGCGTTTAATAAAATTTCATTTATTTTGACAGTTTATTCCAAATGGCATCATCGGACCTTGTGATCGTTGCGGCAGGTCATCTCCGGGACCCGAGTACCTTCTCTACTGCACTGACTGTCGTGAATTGGTGCACATTGAGTGCTTGCGTTCAAAGCCAGAATGTCGTTTGGCTGGTGATAATTTTTACACTTTCACTTGTTTCAAATGTCACAGTGGAAAAAAGGACACAGTGGCTCGGCCGAAAGATCTTAGCAAGTAAGTTGAGTGTGTGATATTTGCCTGTACTGTAAGTAACATGATTGTACAGTACTGTGTAGTATTTTGAATCCTGAACCAATTTTTAGGTCGTACTCTACAGTATAAGTCCAAACAAATCCTATTTACTGCCTGGCCAACTTTCATTAAACGTATTATGTGTAACTTTGGGTGTAATAATAGAAACCTTTCTCTATAGAAACAGTTCCCAAAACACAGTTCGCGACCCCAAATGGGATTGCAAAATGCTTCACAAGGGGTCGTATGGAGTTCATTGGGTCGATGGGGTCGCATAGAGGTCCTAGATTCACTGGGCTCCCATAGACCTCATGGGGTCACTGGAGACACCTGGGTCTTGCAGCGGTCACAGAAGTGAGGGTCGCACTGGATAGGCAACAGTAACTACTAGATGAGGTAGCACTGGAAAATGCTTGGGAACCCCTACTCTAAAAAGTCATCAGTCTGCACGGAAAATTAGTTCGTCTGCTGAAAAAAAAATTATATTTACTCTTATGTTACATAAATAAAGTCAAGTAACACTTACCACTTCAATTATAACTTTTCATGATCCTTTTGCACTTCAGGCAGTCCTTTAGCCTTTGAGGAACACTATCAGCGAAGTTTTGCAAGAGGTCATGTGGCAAGTTAGCCCAGATATCCTTGATAGCTGCCTCTAGCTTCGGGTTTGATTATGTGTCAGTGTCGTACAGACGACGCTTAACAATGGACCACAAATTTTCTTTTGGGTTGAGATCTGGGCTACTGACAGGCCAGTCATTAAAGAAAGGTACCTCACAGTCTTTGAGCCACTGTATGACACGATGTGGCATGGGGCACCGTCCTGCATGAAAAGGCTTTCCTTAGCTTTATCAAATGATTCTGGTAAGAAATCACTAAGCAGCTCAAAATAGTTGTACAGTACTGATTCATCATCTGGTTCTTAGGGAGGATTACAAGTTCACCAACACCATAATGCATAAAGGGGGGGGGGGGGTTGTCCCCCCACAGTAGATGCCCATGCATGGAATTAAGGAGGTTAATAAATTGATAGGATTATTTAATTTTTTGTCACGTATGTTAGTCATCACTTGAGCACAGGTGATGTGTTAGGACCACCAGCTTTCTTCACACTTGTACTTACGGATATACAGTGGGGTATGCTATAACGAACGGATCCTACTACGAATATTCCTATAACGAACGGTTTTACCTATAAAATTGAGAATGCTATAGCGAATGAAACTCCTACAACGAACATATTTAAAAAAAAATTTTTTTTTTTTTTTTACTAATTTATTGTTTTTGTATTACAAGTATTAATAATATTCTTTATTTCAGGGGTTTAGATGCATATTTATGCACTTTTTTAAAATTTTTACAATTTTATATTATATTTTCAGTGTTAAGTGGTTGTATTTGGGGGCCTGGAACGGATTAATCCTATAACGAACGAATGCTATAACGAACAAGGTTCTAGAACCAATAAGATTCGTTATAGCAGACCCCACAGTCCATTATTATTTTGCTCCCATTTATTCCAGTGTGAAGATAATTTGATTAGTAAATTTTTTATTTATTTATGTGTTTGTATGATGATATTATCTTACATAATATGACTTGTGGCAGACTCCAGGCCCTGCTCGTAGTGCTCTTCCATCTCCACAAAACTGCAGCCGAGAGTTCACATCAAGGCTTCTTCCATGCTGATGATCATATTTCTCAGTTCATTATTAATTACTGGAATGACATATTTGGATCAAACAAGTAAGTGAAATATACAGTATGGAATACAGTAGTTTGGTTTTATAAAAATAAAATAAATGTTCTTAATTTGGTAAGAGTATAAATAACAAATTCAGTGGTCCCTCGATTAACGAACACAATTCGTTCCAGAAGGTCGTTAGTTAACCAAAAATTTTGTTAACCGAATCCATTGTTTCAATGGGATATTGGGTAATTGGTTCCAGCTCACCGAAAAGTACATACAAAGTAAAAAAAAAATGCAGTAAAGTACACTTACTTTGATGTGTGTATGTAGAAGGTTCCTGGTTGATGATGATTTTGGGAATTAGAAGTGGGGGTGGAGGAGAAGGGAGACGAGAAGGAAGTGGGGATGAAGGAGAAATCACCTTTCAGGGGACCCATGCTTGATGCAGTTATTTCACCAATAAAATTTTAAGTTCACTTGGTATAATTCAAGATTATTTTATTTAAATCAACACTGCACTGCGCTATATATTATCAATATGTTAACTAAAGTTCAGAATGACCAATAATTTCAATGAAAAATGCAAAAATATTCAAGACACCAACAAAAGAGATGCTCTCTCCACTGTTTTCAAAGCTCAACTGACGCCTTGTGGCCGACCCACACATCTGATGGGCGCACAAAAAACTAGTTCCCTGTACTGCATATATTATCAGTATGTTAAATAAATGTTAAAATGACTAATAATTTTAAAATAAAAAATGCAAAAATATTAAAGAGCACAACTTTCTTGATATTTACTCCACTGGAAATGAATATAAACATAGAATTTTTGTTCGTTAACTGAATTGAAGATTCTTATGGAAAGTAATTCGTTAACCGAACCGTTCGTTAACCTTGGGACCACTCCACTGTATAATAATGTTTTGAGCAAAAGTTTCACAAGAGATGGTTATGTTGTTACTAGCATAGTGGGAGCTGCTCAGTAAACCAAAACTATGCAGGAAATATATAAGAAAATATGTGGATTACCGAAGACGTGACATAGGTATTATAAATAGTTTCAGGTTTCAGTGATAAATAAACATTAAACTGAATGCAAATTATTGTTTAAGCTAAACTTTAATGACTTACACACAAAACACACAGAGGTGCTTATACTTTCTGCATAATATTTCTTATGCAGCAAATATATGTGTTCCTGAGACTTAACACAACACAACTTACTTATTAATTGAACTTACAATAACTTATAACTGAATGGTCACAGTAAAGTAAACAATTACTGCTAACTGTACTCTATACAATACTCAATTGGGCTTGTATTCCTCACTACAAAATTATTGGTGTATAATTTTCTTTAAACAAACAATAATGCTTTGAATTATTTAATATATACAGTACCTAGTTTATTGTTATTAGGATTTTTTTTTGTCTTCTGTACAGACAACAGCCTGGTTTATTGAATACAGTGTTGGCAGTTCATTCCTTTACTCTATGTCTTAATTCTTAAAAAAAAATTATTTGCAGTGATATATTATATTGGGTACAGTATATAACCTCACCATTTTAACCAATTGTGCATTTTGTGATAGAGTGCCAAATTTGGCACACATGTTGACTTATAGTGAACAGATCTGGATATGATGCCACCGCAGATTTAGCTGCTGACGGTTGTTAAAGCCATTATCCAAAATGGCCACCAACAATTACTGATATTTTACAGTACTTAATTGCCCTGCTGACTGTGACTGTATGTTGGCAGTGGAGTTTAATTCACTGCAAAAAAACTAAAACTACTAAATGAACTATTTTGTTATATTCGTATAAAAATAATAGAGTAATTAGACTAATTATTCTAATTAAACAGTATGTTCGAGTCATCTGTCCCATGTCGCTGCTTCCACTTTTTGTGGAGAATGCTCACACAGTGGCAATGATCCGACACTCCATAGATGTCATAAAGAATGTTGTTGAGCACCTGAACCCTCTATCAGCCCTTGTATGCCTTGGCCAAGCAAATTCATTGGACATGGTTGGAGCATTATGGTGAACACAAACTGGTGGTTATGCTTGGGTGGCTGCACACCGAGATGGCAGCTCTGATGATGCTGGGGGACTGGCTAGAAGGCAGTGACTGGGTGGAGGCACTAGTTCAAGCCGAGATTGCGACACCAGGATCGGCTGATTCCTTTTTGCGAGCAGCCCACGTCACCCACACAAAGAGGGCTCACCAAATTACTGCTGCAGCACTGTATATTCTACTGAGACGTGCCAATGATCGCTTCTGCTTGCGAGAAGTTGACCATACCGAATATCTGTCAAAGGTTCAGTGCCTGGTGCAAGAAGAGAGAACAAGACACCCCCTTGTTCCAGTACTGGGCAACAGTGCTAGAACTAGAGCTGTTGGTACTGGTGTCTGTGCATTCTCTGCACTAATCTTTGTTTACCTTGTACCTTGATGCACTGACAGGACTGGCCCCATGGTTCCATGCCCTAGACCACACTAACTATGCTAGGTGGGTCCCTGTTCACCTAAGGGACATGGCAGAACTTGACTAAAAGCACCCAGATGTAGCTAGAGAATTCAGTGCAGGCAACTTCACGGTGCTGAAGACGAGGAAGGTATTCTCATCAATCCCGACTGATCAGGCTCAAGAACAGAACAGTGCCTTCATCATAGGAAACCATCCTATGGATGAAAGGATATCTCCTTTATTGACAATACAAGTGGTTAGAATGTAGTGATTGATGGATAAAGCAGATGGATTATCCTAGTGCTTGGTGGAAGGGGAACATCATTGCATAACACATCTGTTTTGACTAGTCGAGTCCATTTGGATTTTGATTCTGGCCACCTTACATTAAGGCAGGAGAGCGTTCACTAGGAAGAGTAAAAAAGATAAATGACTATAATGTATTAATTCTTTTGTTTCAGTAGTACAAAACAGGGGACAACAAACGATGACTGGGGTAGCATCTTTAGCGTGCAGGACATCTTATCAAAGCAACCACAATATTTTGTCAAAGGTCCTGAGAGTCTTGGTGGCGGCCCATGGTACAAGCTGTCACCCATGTTGCCACCCGCACAGCTCCTTCATGCAAGTCTTCAGGTTGACATAGGAGTGACAAATGTAATTAGACATGACTCTTGCATTCATTTACCCCATCAATATAAATCACTCCCATTTGTAACCTGTTGACTGGAGTACAGTACTGATACATATTGAGATGCATTTATTGCAGCAGCAGCCAGACCTAACTTGCTGAAGTGTGTTATTGTATATACAGTCATGCGCCGGTTAACGTCCAACCGAACAACGTCCGATCATATTTACGTCCGTGGCCCCCCGTCAAAAAAAAAAAAACACATCGGTGACACCTGCTGGACCACCACTCCACGACCACCTGATAGAGACACGATGATCCTTCCACATACTGGCCAGATATTATGTGTTAAAGGAATATCCTTCCTTAGGCTTCAGTAAGCATTTCCTTCCAGTTGTAATGTTAACCTACATCTATTGAGGATAAAATCTTTCACCTACAAATTGACAATAACACATTTGCTGTAATCAGACATATCTAGTTGCCTCAACAATTGCAACCCTAGTTGCAATTGGGGTTGCAATTTCAAATTCTGTCATTACTAAGGAATAACGAAGTCTCTGGTGCACTGCACTCTAAGATTAAGAGAAAACGGAGGACTCAGGCGTCTTGAAACGGGAGAAAACAGACTCCTATGACGGGGCACTCAAATAAACATACACATAGCTACATGTTTTGTGGACTATCCACTGTACAGTATCCTTTTCATCACTTTGTAATAAACCTAGTCATACCTATGTGTGTTTCAGATATTTACCATAACATTGTATATATATTTAGTGGGTCTAAATGGGTGCCTGGAACCAATTAGAATAAATCCCATCAGTTCTGTACTTTTGGACAACGTCCATTTCGGTTAACGTCACGTTTCCAAGAACGTATCTAGGACGTTAACCGGCGCATGACTGTATACCTTTTGTATTCTTAATACCCAAATTATTTTACTCCTAACATCAACCTGTTTTGTGTTACCCTATGAGGACGTCATAATTCTTTCATGGTATTATTAATTTAAATTTTTCAGCTAGGAGATGAGACTTACATAATTTGCTGTACAGTAAAGTGTCTGACAACCGAAAACATCAGGAACAAGAGGTAAAGATAAAGTGGGCAATTGCATAAAGTCAATATTATCATGAACGTCTGTCTATGGAAAGCATGTAGTAAATGAGAAGATTTGCTACCGTTTGGTTGTATTATTAGTTTACAGGTTGCCCTCTCCAATTGTGGGGAAGAAGTTCCATGACACGACTATGATGGAGTAATCCACCATTGGGGAACCCATTATAACATGATAGAATAAGGGATGCACCCCTGTACCATCCAAACTTTACCCCAGAAGACATACAGTTGAATTGCAAATTCATCTAAATGGACATAGTAATGTTCTTTACCCATTATAATCTTCATCTAAGGCATAAAAAGCAATGACTTTATTGAATTTTCCATGTTTGAATGAGTAGCCTGCAATTACCTAATGGCAGCTGTCCAGGCTGCATAGTCTCTTGCATCTTCTCTCGTCAGCTCTTAAGGTCGTTTCTTACAACCGCTCCCTGTGTTATTCTTGACCTACCTCTGGCTTTACCCCTCTCTACAGACAGTTCAGTAGACAGTTCTAATCACACGATAGATATAGTACTACACATTGATGATGGTAACGTGCTCATTTCTCACCAATGTGTCAAGGGTTCTTTCCATAGAAATAAGAGAAAGTGATGGCCAAAAATGATGAATGTAAATTGTTGTTGCTTTTTTCATGTCCTTGACATTCCAGTATGTCATGCCATAGACCCTTAATAAATTTACACGAATAAAATTACGTATTTATGTTTATTTTTCTACTTTTCTAGTGAACCAGTATTTTCATGTACGTTCTATGAGTCACTTAGGTCAAATAAAAATATTATGAAGTTACATTTGGTTTTATAACACTGTAATAAAAAAAAAGGATGGCAGAGGCCTCCACCAGTTGTTTGCCCAGGCCCCCCTCCCCAACTCTTGAATCTGGCCCTGAATGGGACCAATATATACTGTACTGTACTGTATAAGCAAAATAGAAATTCATTTGCAGTTTCACCAGAGCAGAAATCAAGTGTAATGGCTCATTTTTGCTAATTACAGTAGTACTGTATATACGGTACAGTAGATAATTTTTCCTCCAGGTTAAAGAAGCTGGTGAAGAAGTTTTACAAATGAAAAGTCTGCTTGGTTCTACTACGGATGATCCAAGTGGTTCAGCTGGCAATGATGTGTGTGCCCCTGCCGGGAATAATATGAATGGTTCTGCCGGGACTGATCCACATGGTCCTGCCGGAAACTATCCCAGTTGTTCTGTGGAGAATGATGTGAAGGGATTTACTAGGAAGAGGTTCCGAGCAGATACAGATGAGGTGGGTTTTTCACTTCTTGTTGTTGACTAATGAAAAGAGAAGTACCAACTGTCTCCAGTATTCTATTTAGTTTAGCAATTTATCAGTTTATAAGATTGTGGTTTGTTGTTATTTGTGAACAGAATTACCATAGTAGAACGTCAATTTAAAGCTATTCAATTTAAGATTATTGATTAAAAGCGACACCCACAATTAAGGACAATGTTTTAATTTAAAGCGAATCTGGCGCATCATATTTTGAAATTCGCGCCTAATGTTTCTCTGGGCATGCTACACTGTCCTAAGGGCAAAGCTGTGCTGTACATGCACGCAAAATAATGTACTAAATGATTACTAAATTTTTTGTCTAGTGCAAATTATAGCATGTTTATATTCAAATTAATCACTATCTTATAAGAATTCCAGCAATGTAAATTATATTCTCTCCGGTCACTTCTGTGACATTTTATAAAAATAAAACATAAACACAATCTAAAAGACATAAATAAACAAATAAATACTTCACTAGACCTTCCGCCCCAACTGTCAAACGTGTCACTGGCACCTCCCACCCCCCCCCCCCTTCCCCCCATCTTCCCAGCCAGGGTTGGGTGGTTAAAGGCTCACAGTTTTTATCTTATATAATGTCACTGACTAAAGTTAGGAGAATATAATTTGCATTGCTAGAATCCTTGCAAGACAGCGAATAATTTGAATATAAACGTCATATATTTTGCACAAGAGATAAAAATTTCAGCCCTTTGTGATAAAATTAATTAGAACATGTCAGTTCAGTGACATTTTATAGGAGAAAAACTTAGTCACTCTTAAGGACAGATAAATAAATAAGCACTAGACCTTGGCATCAACTGTCAAACATATCACCTCACCTCCCCCCCCATCAGCTGATCCCTAGTAAACAGACCATTTCACGTCCCATAATTTTAGCTGTGTTGATTTATGAGTGTTTGTTTTAACATTATACAACAAAAAACAATATTTTGGTTATTCTAGGAGAAGGGCTGAGGTGCATCTGGGCAGACTCTCAGTCTTTTTAGTATTTTGTGTTTCTCTCAAGTACCAAACTAAATTATTCCATTGAAGCAACACCTTGATTTAGAGCGAATTCGGTTTAAAGCGACCTCTCTTGGAACGTCTCGCGTTATATCGACGTTCTACTGTATTTTGATGAATATAAATTGCACTTTTTTCCTAAAGCATTTGGTAAGTGTGGGGGTGTGGCTTAGTATTTTATATGAATTTAAATAATGCCTCAAATATACCTATAAGTATTACTGTAATTCCTTGTGCGTTTTAGCACTACCTCTGACCAGTCCCCACCACCATTACTACCTCAACCTAAGTCAAAATTACAATCAGTACTGTACTACCATTACTCTCATCACTCTGCATGTTGTGTACCTGAGAGTTTGTTTACAAGAATGAAATTTGGTGAACTGTGCCTACTGTGTCCAAAACCCTCAAAGTAATTAAACATTAAATAATTATCTGATGTTAACTTGACCATAATTGTTTTTTCTTTTTTCATAATAAAAGATATTATTATGTATATGGCAGATTTAGAAGGTAAATGTGTAAATCTCTGTACATAAGAACATATGTTCCTGTTATTGAGGTCTAAAAAGTTAACAGTTATACTTAACTTTTTTCTATCCTCTTCTCCACGGATCGGCTCATTTGCCACTTGGACAGTCGGTCACTTCTCTGTTGGCAAGGACTGGCTCCAGAATGTATCTGTCGCTGCACTAGTGTTGGTCAAGTCTTGTCTTGAATGACCTCACACTCAGTGCTGCCCCAATGCAGTTACTATCATTCTTTTACCCTAATTTTATGTAATTAGAACATGAGACATTAGAAAGGGTTATTGACTTTCCACATACATTACATTAAATAATACGTTATCAAGACACTGAAAGTTTTTCAAATTAAGGTATATGAAGAAAATCTTGACAGTGTGTTTGTTTATGGCAACGGAAGGCATTTTGGTGTTTCTCTGTTGTAAAAGTGGCAAGTACTGTACAGGTTTACCTTACGTAACACAGCATCCCTTAGTTTACTTTTATTTAAATGTAATTTACCATATTTGATGAACCAGGGAATATATTTGTTTCATGTATTCTGGATTCTTTACTGTGAAATAGTTTGGAGAAACAGTTATTAAGAAAAAAACAAACATATTTTACGGCCTCATAAATAATCAGTAGGAAGTGTTGCTATTTATTTATATTATTTTATGCATACTATATACATATGTATATATTACTGAGCATTTCTTTATTGAGCTTTAGGGCCAAACATTTTACCCTGGAACCTGTCATAATTTATAGTGTGGAAGTTTATGCGGATTCACTTAGCGTAATTCTTTTTTGCAACACATCTGCTAGGTTAAGTGAGATATATCACTGCAGAGGTGACAACAGAATCACCTTGTAGAAATACTCAGAAAAATGCTTCATTATTTCTTTAACACTTAAAGATAACTGAATATTTTGCCAGGAGTCTATATAAGATGACCCCCTGCCATGATAAGGATATGAAATTTAAGCCCGAGACATTGCAAATAATACTTGTAAACCATAGAAAATGAACCTAGGTGTGTCAGCTACCTGATAGGTACATTTTTTCAGGATTCTACAAGAGTGTCACAAGTTGAAAATATTAACTCAAGCCTAAGTTTGGTGCATGTTAAAAGTGAACCAACAGATGTGTGTATTAGTAGCAGCAGCAACAGTGACAACAGCCCATGTCAGGTAAGTTACTGCACTTTGACTTATTTTGGAGAGGGCTTTTGTGCATGTTGGGTTGACTGGTGAATTAGGTGGAAATCTTAAGGCCTTTTTTTTATGAGGAAGAGGAATACAATTGTAGAAGACACCAGGAAATTTTTTTGTAATAATTGAATAAGAGCAAAAGAGGGAGAAAGTTTGTTGCTTTTGATGCCATCCGCCAGTGCTACAGCAGGAAAGGTCTTACAAGAGTGAAATAGAAATACAATAGTAAACACCTTTGAAACTTAAAATACTGGACACTGGGGATCTCAGGGGCATATCCAGGAATATCAAAAGGGTGTCCCAAGATTTTGTGGGTGGGGGAACGTGGCGAGCATAGCGAGCCCATCCAGCTGGGGCTTTTGGGTGATGGCCCTGTAAACCCCCGCCCCTGCCTGATAATTTTTTATTTATTTTTTTAAACCTGACCAATGTTGTGGACTTTTTTCAGGTAATTTTGAAGCCATGTGCACTTGATATTAGGAGTTATTCTGAGGTCAATAGTAATTTCTTCTTACTATACAAAAATGCCTGAGTACAAGGAACCTCAGGACCCCCCCCCCCCGGACCTCCTTCAGGTGAGTTGGGAGATTGTGTGAGGTTTTCCTCCTCAATCACACAGACACATGCACAGTAGATGCTGTGCTGGTGTGTTATTTATAAACCACCTTAGAATTGGTTTTGGAGGAAGTCAGGATGGTGGAAATTATGAAAATGCAGCAGAGACCAGTAAATGGGAACTGTTCTTGTGACCCGGTTGCCATCAGACATGTTGAAATAAACTTTATGGCTGGATGCCCTTCCTAACACCAACCCAAAGGGAAGGAACAGTTGGCAAGGCTTCCAGAGGTAATTCAACACTGACCGTCTCCCTCTAGCCCACCTGCTTACCTTTGAATTATGCCTAGAAACAAAAAAGCTGTTGATAATCCTTTTTATATTTCAGTCATTATCAAATTCATAAGGATTTATTGAGAAAAATTTCATCGGTAAGTATTCTTTGAACTTAGAAGAATTAGTAGTAGCATTCCTCATGCTATACTATAATTTTGGTACAGTATAGTGATACTAGTTTTAGAAGAATTGTGCTTCTCTTTATTTGTTTACATGGCATCAAAAGTTAGTATCAAACCACATAAGTTTTATCCTGGATTAACATGTTCAAATATACTCTTTTGTTTTATTAGCAGAGATAAATCTTGGAAGACTAACAGGCATGTTGTCTGCCTCTCCAGAATGCCGTCAAACAGGAGCTTGTATACAAAGAAGAGGTATTTGTTGATGACTTTGTCAGTGAAGAGGTAAATAAACAGGATCCACTTTCTCTTACTGACAAGAGCCAAGTGATAGAACCTTCAACAGTCACATCTGAGGAGACGTGGCCACACTCAGGCTCAGAAAAATTGAAGGAATGTCGGAAGCGCTCCAAACGTATCTCACAGCAACCCTCTCGACTCATTCAACCTAAGATATTGGCAGTTCCTCAGGTGCTCCCTGTATCTATTGAAGAACTTGCTAATACCCAAGAAGCTGTGGGAGAAAATGTTCCAGAAGTCTTTGTTGCACAGTAAGTAGAGAGAGGGAGTAGTAAGAGACATAGAGGAGAGAGGGAGAGAGAGATAGAATTTTTCTTTACCTTGTTTCTTCCACTAAATGAAAAATATAAAACTAATCCTGATATCCTATTTTTCAACAAAGACCTTAGTCGAGTGGTTCTGGAGGGTCAAATGGTTTTCGAAAGTCAAATAGTTGTCGATAGTTTATCCAGCTTCTGGGCATCTCAAGAGTAATTAACTAATGATGGTGTATATTTTTCATTTGATGGAATGGACAAATGATAGAAATAGGCACAATATTTTCTTGAGTGATAAACAAACAAAAATTTTTTCTGTGAATGGACACTATAAATGATGATTTCATCCTACTGTAGGCTTGTGTGTGGTATCTATTCCTTCTGACTGATGTTGCAGGTAAACCCCTCATGCTGGTTTGTCTTGGGTACAACCACAATCTCCTGCAGAGCCAGCAAATGTTTTTAAGTAACTCACTGTTGTTGATCCTGCAGGTTTTTATTATACAAAATGGTCCAAACTTAGTTTTGGATAATGTAACTGGCATAATGATTCATGAGCCAGTAAGCCTGGGAGAGTTGTTTGACTCAACTTAATTCATCGGCCAGTGGGAGGGAGAGATTTGTTCAGCTTTCAATAATGCAAAAGGATTATTAAGATATGCATCTTTGAATAAAATCTGTTCCTCACATTCTTCCCCCAGTAAAGGAGTACATTCCTTTCTTATACTGAACTCACTACAGGAACCCTGCCCTATCATATATTCAGTTAAGGAATACTTCCCTATCATATATTCAGTTAAGGAATACTTCCCTATCATATATTCAGTTAAGGAATACTTCCCTATCATATATTCAGTTAAGGAATACTTCCCTATCATATATTCAGTTGAGGAATACTTCCCTATCATATATTCAGTTGAGGAATACTTCCCTATCATATATTCAGTTCAGGAATACTGCCCTATCATATATTCAGTTGAGGAATACTTCCCTATCATATATTCAGTTAAGGAATACTTCCCTATCATATATTCAGTTAAGGAATACTTCCTATCATATATTCAGTTGAGGAATACTTCCTATCATATATTCAGTTGAGGAATACTTCCTATCATATATTCAGTTAAGGAATACTTCTCATCATATATTCAGTTGAGGAATACTTCCTATCATATATTCAGTTAAGGAATACTTCCTATCATATATTCAGTTAAGGAATACTTCATCATATATTCAGTTAAGAATACTTCCTATCATATATTCAGTTAAGGAATACTTCCTATGTATATATTCAGTTAAAATACTTCCCTATCATATATTCAGTTAAGGAATACTTCTATCATATATTCAGTTATGAATACTCCTATCATATATTCAGTTAAGGAATACTTCCTATCATATATTCAGTTAAGAATACCTATCATATATTCAGTTAAGGAATACTTCCTATCATATATTCAGTTGAGGAATACTTCCTATCATATATTCAGTTGAGGAATACTTCCTATCATATATTCAGTTAAGAATACTTCCATCATATATATTTCTGAAGTAGAATACTTCCTATCATATATTCAGTTGAGGAATACTTCCTATCATATATTCAGTTGAGAATACTTCCTATCATATATTCAGTTAAGGAATACTTCCCTATCATATATTCAGTTGAGGAATACTTCCCTATCATATATTCAGTTCAGGAATACTGCCCTATCATATATTCAGTTGAGGAATACTTCCCTATCATATATTCAGTTAAGGAATACTTCCCTATCATATATTCAGTTAAGGAATACTTCCCTATCATATATTCAGTTGAGGAATACTTCCCTATCATATATTCAGTTGAGGAATACTTCCCTATCATATATTCAGTTAAGGAATACTTCCCTATCATATATTCAGTTAAGGAATACTTCCCTATCATATATTCAGTTGAGGAATACTTCCCTATCATATATTCAGTTAAGGAATACTTCCCTATCATATATTCAGGAATACTTCCCCATCATATATTCAGTTGAGGAATACTTCCCTATCATATATTCAGTTGAGGAATACTTCCCTATCATATATTCAGTTCAGGAATACTGCCCTATCATATATTCAGTTGAGGAATACTTCCCTATCATATATTCAGTTAAGGAATACTTCCCTATCATATATTCAGTTAAGGAATACTTCCCTATCATATATTCAGTTGAGGAATACTTCCCTATCATATATTCAGTTGAGGAATACTTCCCTATCATATATTCAGTTAAGGAATACTTCCCTATCATATATTCAGTTAAGGAATACTTCCCTATCATATATTCAGTTGAGGAATACTTCCCTATCATATATTCAGTTGAGGAATACTTCCCTATCATATATTCAGTTAAGGAATACTTCCCTATCATATATTCAGTTGAGGAATACTTCCCTATCATATACAGTACTGTTTTCAGTTGAGAAGCACTCCCCAGTTTTATGCTCAGAAGAGTGACACCCTTGTTTTATCTTTATTACAGACATTTTGATTACCATGATGCAAAGCTGGCAACATCCTGGCACCTGATAGAAGACATGCTGCCAGCCATATTCTCCCACAAGGTCATCACGTATGATTACATGTCTGACAACAATCTACCAGGGTTTAATTTAGAAATAGATAGCACTGTTTCAACCAAAGATGATATTGGACTGTGGCTCCATGAGTTTAGTGAACGTACTCAAACAAAATGGAAACTTCGATATTGGGCCATGGGAAACACATATTCCTATACGTATAAGGTGATGTATGTATGTGCCAGTGCTCCTAGAACTAAAAAAGAAAAGAGTAAGTTTGATCGGAGCTGCAAAGCTTTTATTCACATTAAATTGTACGAAGAGGATATTTTAAGGAAAGTCAATGCCATTTCAGTTGGATTTTTATCAAGAATCAGTTTATCATACATACACAACCATCCGGTGATGTTTAAAGAAACGTTTCAGTATAAGAGTGTTAGAAAAGATATGATTGAAATGTTTCACGAGTACTTCGCGGAGGGTCACACATCCGTCAGCGCTCATCACTACCACGAGGCTAGACTGTGGCTAAGAGACTTGGCGGCCGAGTTGTTGCTCGACGACACCATTCACCCAAAGATAAGAACTATTAAGTATATGAAAGAGCAGTGGGTGAAGAGTAACTCGGCTACTGTCTTGAAAAATAAAAACAATGAAACGGGTGAGGCCTTGTTTAATGCAGCGTGTGAGAGAGTTGAAGAACTGAGTCACCAAAGGAAAGTTCAGTACTTTATTGTTAAGAATCCGTTTTCTGTTGCTCTAGTGACTCCCTTGATGAAACGAGTTCACAGCCTCCAAGAAGCTTCACTGACTTTATTTGTTAATACTGTCATTAATTGTGGGAGAGAGAAGTGCAGTATTACTTACTTTACCTGTGCCTCCGTTGCTGGAGTGTTGCCCCTTGGTGTAGTCATTGTCAGTAACCCCACTTGCAGTGCATTGAAAATTGCCTTTAAAAATTTAGTTACAACTGTCGGTGAAACTGCATTTGGAGGCAGAGGGTCGCCAATGGTGATAATTAGCGATGGTTTTGAGCCTCAGATGGAGGCTTTAAAGTCTTGTTTCCCGTACAGTCAAACCTTGCTATGTGTGACCAACCTCGTCCATTCTGTCTGGAGATGGTTAACGGAAGAATCAAATGGTATCAAAGAACATCATTGGGTAACTTTAATAGGCCTTGTGAAAAATGTTTTGTATGCACCAACACCTGAGGTTAGTAAGCTGGCCTACAGAATGATGTTAGCACATTCTGTTTCAAAACAGTATGAAGTATTTAACACATACTTGGCAACATTATGGCACAGGAGAGGTGAAGTTGGTTTAGTCTACAAATTGCCTATGAATAATAAAGATTTCGTTGAATTGTCTAGAAGAATTTTCATCGATGCTATTCTAACAAGATGTCAGGCATTCAGCGTACTTCCTATGATGAGGTACGTTTGCATAGCGCTAGAAGAGTGCTTTCAGAGCAGAGTATCTGAGTATATTGAGAATACTGCTTCTCAGTTTACATTTTTAAAATGTATGGAGAAAACCATTTTACCAGAAACCAAAAATATGCAGTCTTCCCACAAAGTACGTAGCACACAAGATGAAGACGATTGGTGTACCGTGAACTGTGAAGCATCACTGTGTTCTTGTGTATCTGGAAGCTTAGGGGGTTTCTGTGAGCATCAACGAGCTGTGTGGAAACAACAGCATTTGCAGCTTCCTGCAGCACCAGAGATAGACTCAAGAGGTAAAGTACAGTTGGCAGATATAGCTTTTGGAGAAGCTGGATATCAAAGTTTTAATAGAATGGAATATGATGTGACAATAAATGCCCTGAAAAAAAATTTGGCAAGGATAGAAACAATTGCTAGCCAAAACATTACTAATTCATTTATTGGAAAAATGAGAAAGCTGAACCAGACATTAGATAAAATTACTACACTTGATGAATTAGGAATGTTTTGTGAGTTGGCAGGTATTCTGGGTAATGTGCAGACACATGTAAAAATAATGCAACCTCAAACAAATATATTACAACAAGCAAAAATAGTACAATCACAGGCTAATATTGTGCAGTCTCAGCCTAGCATAGTGCAACCCCAAAATAATAGTGTACAGCCACAGGCTACTATTGTGCAATCACAAACTGTCCAACCCCAAGCTAATCTTGTACAACCACAAACTAGTCTTATGCAGGCTCAAGCGAGTCTCATGCAGCCACAGCCTAACCTGCTGCAGCCACAAACTAATATTCTACAGCCACAAACTAGTTTTGTTCAGTCACAAACTAGTCTTATGCAACCACAGACAAATGCAGGACTAAATCCAATTCAATTTTTGGTTGTTCAGTCTATTCAAAAATGAAGTGAGAGAGAGGTGATGCTTCTTACAGAGAGGTGATGCTCTCTACAGAGAGGTGATGCTCTCTACAGAGAGGTGATGCTCTATACAGAGAGGTGATGCTCTATACAGAGGTGATGCTCTCTCCAGAGAGGTGATGCTCTCTCCAGAGAGGTGATGCTCTCTCCAGAGAGGTGATGCTCTCTGCAGAGAGGTGATGCTCTCTGCAGAGAGGTGATGCTCTCTCCAGAGAGGTGATGCTCTCTCCAGAGAGGTGATGCCTCTCCAGAGGTGATGCCTCCAGAGAGGTGATGCTCTCTCCAGAGAGGTGATGCCTTCCAGAGTGGTGATGCCTCCAGAGGAGGTGATGCCTCTACAGAGAGGTGATGCCTCACAGAGAGGTGATGCTCTCACAGAGAGGTGATGCTCTACAGAGGTGATGCCTCACAGAGGAGTGATGCTCTCTCCAGAGGGATGCCTCTACAGAGGTGATGCCTCTACAGAGAGGTATGCTCTTCCAGAGAGGTGATGCTCTCACAGAAAGGTGATGCTCTCTCCAGAGAGGTGATGCTCTACAGAGAGGTGATGCCTCACAGAGAGGATGCTCTCACAGAGAGGATGCCTCACAGAGAGGTGATGCCCACAGAGAGGTAGCTTCTACAGAGGTGATGCTGTCTCCAGAGAGGGATGCTCACAGAGAGGTGATGCCTCTACAGAGAGGTGATGCCTCTACAGAGAGGTGATGCTCACAGAGAGGTGATGCTCTATACAGAGAGGTGATGGTCTCTATAGAGAGGATGGCCCTACAGAGAGGTGATGGTCTACAGAGAGGTGATGCTCTATACAGAGAGGTGATGCTCTCACAGAGAGGTATGCTCTACAGAGAGGTGATGCCTCTCCAGAGAGGTGATGCTCTATACAGAGAGGTGATGCTCTCTACAGAGAGGTGTTGGTCTCTCCAGAGAGGTGTTGCTCATACAGAGAGGTGATGCTCTTATACAGAGAGGTGATGCTCTCTACAGAGAGGTGATGCTGTATACAGAGAGGTGATGCTCTTCAGAGAGGTGATGCTCTCACAGAGATGTGATGCTCTCACAGAGAGTGATGGTCTACAGAGAGGTGATGGTCTATACAGAGGAGGTGATGCTTCATACAGAGAGGTGATGCTCTACAGAGAGGTGATGCTCTCTACAGAGAGGTGATGCTGTATACAGAGAGGTGATGCTCTTCTCTACAGAGATGTGATGCTCTCACAGAGAGTGATGGTCTATGGAGAGAGGTGATGGTCTATACAGAGAGGTGATGCTCTATAAGAGAGGTGATGTTCTCACAGAGAGGTGAAGCTCTCTACAGAGAGGTGATGCTGTCTCCAGAGGGTGATGCTATACAGAGAGGATGCCTGTCAGAGAGGTGATGCTCTCTACAGAGAGGTGATGGTCTCTACAGAGGTGATGCTCTACAGAGGTGATGCCCCACAGAGAGGTGATGTCTCTACAGAGAGGTGATGGTCTATAAGAGAGGTGATGCTCTTACAGTGAGGTGATGCTTCTACAGTGAGGTGATGCTCTATGGAGAGAGGTGATGCTCTATACAGAGAGTTGATGCTCTATACAGAGAGGTGATGCTCTACAGAGAGGTGATGGTCTCTAGAGAGGTGATGCTCGGGGTCTACAGAGAGGTGATGCCTCTACAGAGAGGTGATGCTCTACAGAGAGGTGATGGTCTTACAGAGAGGTGATGGTCTATACAGAGAGGTGATGCTCTCTACAGAGAGGTGATGCTCTGAGGTGATGCTCTCTACAGAGAGGTGATGCTCTATACAGAGAGGTGATGCTCTATACAGAGAGGTGATGCTTCTATAGAGAGGTGATGGTCTCTACAGAGGTGATGGTCTATACAGAGAGGTGATGCTCTCTACAGAGAGGGATGGTCTCTACAGAGAGGTGATGGTCTATTGAGAGAGGTGATGCCTCTATAGTAGAGGTGATGGTCTATACAGAGAGGTGATGCTCTCACAGAGAGGTGATGCTCTATACAGAGAGGTATGCTCTCACAGAGAGGTGATGCTCTCTACAGAGAGATGATGCTCTATACAGAGAGGTGATGCCTCACAGAGAGGTGACTATACAGAGAGGTGATGGTCTATACAGAGGTGATGCTCTATACAGAGGTGATGCTCTATACAGAGAGGTGATGCTCTACAGAGAGGTGATGCTGTCTCCAGAGGTGATGCACTCTACAGAGAGGTGATGCTCTCTACAGAGAGGTGATGGTCTATACAGAGGTGATGCTCTATACCGGTGAGGATGTCTCTACAGAGAGGTGATGGTCTCTACAGAGAGGTGATGGTCTATACAGAGAGGTGATGCTCTATACAGAGAGGGATGCTCTCACAGAGAGGTATGCTCTATACAGAGAGGTGATGCTCTCACTGAGAGGTGATGCTCTATACAGAGAGGATGGTCTCTACAGAGAGGTGATGGTCTTTACACAGAGGTGATGGTCTCAAAGAGAGGGTGATGCTCTATACAGAGAGGTTATGCTCTCTACAGAGAGGTGATGGTCTCTCCAGAGAGGTGATGCTCTCTACAGAGAGGTGATGCTCTCTACAGAGAGGTGATGCTCTATACAGAGAGGTGATGCTCTATACAGAGAGGTGATGCTCTCTACAGAGAGGTGATGCTCTTTCTTAATCCATAAATATATTAGGTACAGGTACATATGAAAAATTTTAATGGGAATCCTAGTGATACATTTAGATGCTGTTAGATCACTCATTAAGTACTTGTAATACAGTAAAAAATATCCATAGCCATCGTAGGAGTGAGATAAAGAAAGGCACGATTTTCATCTATGCACAGTACCGTTCAGAAGTTCATGGTACACTGGCTGTGAAGGGTGCATAGCCTGTTGTATCCTTCCTGGATGACAGGTCACTATGCCGACATTCCCACCAACACACACAGTGGAACTGTCAGCGGAGCAGTGTGATTCGAACGAATGCTTATCAAAAAAAGAGATTGGAAGAATATTAATATGAATATTGGCCAACTTTACTGCTGATTGACGAGGAAGATGTGATACTGTGATACTGTTATTTAACACTTAATCGGCAATTATCACTATTTAGTGTAACACACACACACATACATATACAGTGGGGTATGCTATAACGAACGTAATTGGTTCCAGAACCTCGTTCGTTATAGCATTCGTTAAGTTATAGGATTAATCCGTTCCAGGCCCCCAAATACAACCGCTTAACACTGAAAAAATTCTGTGGAAAATGTAAAAAATACGGTACTTTATCTTACCTTGTGTTATTCAGCATGCAGGTACCTAAACACTGGCACATCACTATCACTTCCACTGGGAGTCTTGGCTTTAAGGTCCTCAAACAATTGTTTAGCCTTCTCACAAATTATAGCTTCACTAATGTTACCACCTGCCATTTTCTTTCTCCTTTATCCACACTAAGAGTAAATTTTCCATCTCTTCAATCACATTACACCTTGCTTTGCTAAGTCTAAAGATTCCTTAGCCACTTGCACAGTTTTTAACTCCTCTTTATTCTTCAAAATCGTACATATAGTCGATTTAGCCATCCCATATTCATCACTAAGTTTACTTGCTTCTTCCATTCTCCGCGTTTTTTATAATTTCTTTCTCTTAGTTTCAAGGGTTATTAGCTTTCTCACTGCGCTTTGGGCTGACTCATTGTTACAATTATATACTTGTATAACAAAATAGTTATACAAATTACGCGTAATTTCCACATCAAGACGAAATTTCAACAATAACAGTGGTGCACTGGCTACACAATGAGAGACAAAGATGGCGCCTGACGCCTCTCGTTGTAGGGTCACTGGCATATTCATCGCCAGGCGAAATAGTCCGGTATTCATCCGCGTTAGTGTAGGAGTTATGCTTATAGCATTCTCAATTTTATAGGTAAAACTGTTAGGTTATAGGAATATTAGTAGTAGGATCCGTTCGATTAGCATACCCCACTGGTGAGTCGTTGATTATATGTTCAAAGTCCGTGTTATATGGACTAAAAATGAGGTTTTTATTATATATATATATATATATATATATATATATATATATATATATATATATATATATATATATATATATATATATATATATATATATATATATATATATATATATATATATATATATATATATATATATTATAATATATATATATATATATATATATATATATATATATATATATATATATATATATATATATATATATATATATATATATATATATATATATATATATATAATTCATACTACATATACTACATATAACTGCATTTGGTGTTGACTCAATGGTTTCAGAAGGTCGTTTAACTCAAACGTTCGTTAACGAAACCATTGTTTCAATGGGTTTTGGGTACTGGTTCCAGCTCACCGAAAATTTCCTAAATTCAACAAAAATGGTAGAAAAGTTCACTTACTTTGAGGTGTGTATGTAGAAGGCTCCTGGATGATGATGATGATGGGATTTAGAATGGGGTGGAGGAAGGAAGAAGAAGGCATTGGGGTGGAAGAGAAGTCAACCCATGGTGCCATTTCACCCATAAAATTTTAGCTCTCTGGTTTATTCAAGATTATTTTCTTTAAATCAACGCTGCACTGCATTATATATTGTCAATATATAAAATATATTTCAAAATGACCAATAATTTGCTTGGAAACACAGAAAAAAGCATTTAGTTGAAGAGAGTCTCAAGCAAGATGTTACCTCCAGTAAAACAGAGAGAGACTGGCGCCTGTTTGCTGTGTTAAGAGGCTGGATGCCGCGCATTAAACTAGTCACTTTACCTTCAATTTTGTTCAATAATTGTTAAAATGACTAAAAATTGAATATTAAACTTTTAAAATTATTGAATAGTATAAACTTCTTGATATTTACAAAAATAGTAGGAATTTAAGCCTAGAACCGATTAATGTATTGGCGGACTGATACTAAAGCTGGTTGCCGGTCAGTGCAAGCGAAACATGTTGAGGTCGGTTCGTAAGAAGTTAGTTTAAGCTAATTTTTAGATTAACCGATTGAAGATCCTTATGGAAGGCAGTTAGATTATCGAAATTACGTTAACGAGGTGCGTTAGCGAGGGTCACTGTATATATATATATATATATATATATATATATATATATATATATATATATATATATATATATCATGTAAATCACAATGAAAACGTGGATAAGATAAATTTGATAAAATCGGGAAAATGAACAGTTTTTTTATTCCAAGACATCTTCAGAGGCAACTGAAGATGTCTTGAATAAAACGCTTCAAAGACTAAGATTCTTTTCCGTGTGTTTTATCAGATATATATATATATATATATATATATATATATAATATATATATATATATATATATATATATATATATATATATATATATATATTTATATATATTATATTTATATATATATATATATATATATATATATATATATATATATATATATATATATATATATATATATATATATATATATATATATATATATATATATATATATATACAGCTGAGAACTGCAAAAAAGTCTTTAAGCATCACACAGAACTGAACTTAAAGCAATGTATACACAACATAAATGGATGATATATACAGTACTGTATTATACTGTACAGTAAATTATATGGGTGACTGTCAGTGCTATATGTTTCCCCATGGGATTGGTAAGTTAACAGTACTGTACCTGTGTTTGTAAAGGTGAAGATGTGTAATACCATGAAAACTGTAAATACTGTACATGTTTTACACATAATACAACTTGTAGATGGATTTATAAATTCTTCAGTCTTAAGGAGACATCTCACATGTAAGATACTACATGTATATTTTTAAATGAATATCAGTTTAATTTATGAACTATTGTACAGTACAGTATTAATTACATTTGGTAGTCAAGCAAAGGCCGTAACTAGTAAACAACAAACTTAAACTCACCGTAGTTATCAGTTATACAAAGCTGAGTGCTGTATACAGAATATAACCATGTTTCATTTCTGTATATCAAACCACTCATTAGTTCTTGAATAAAAACCATCTTTTTGGCATGTGGATGGATTGTCAGAGACATGGGTAACACTACACTTAACCCTCTTTATATGATGATTTTTTTTTTTACATAATTTTGCAGTTACATGTTTTTAAAAAATAGGAACACAAAGTTTTATTTACTAGAACAAATTATTTATTAGTCCCCCTCCCACCAACACCCCCCCAATCTCTGCATTCGCCATATGAGGTAAGTACATTATGGAAGATATTGAATGTAGCCAAGAATGTGGACATGAGATGGTTGACAGGTGGGTGGGGAAGCCTGGCTAGCAGCAGGTATGGCCAGTGGTGAAATTTACTGTTTACAAATATTTATGGAGCTCAATGAAACTACTGTACTCATTTTTATTACTTTAAAACAAACTCAAGAAAATAATATTTGTACAGTACAGCAACTTATATTTATTACAAATAGCAAATGTTATTAGTTGTATTAAGTGTCACAACGAAATCACTGCCAAATTCTCCTGCTCATTTACTGCACTGTACAGTACATAGTTAATCTCAATAGCTTCCACACATTTTAGTGACTACAGTGATTTATCTGCGTCTGAAAATGGCAGTGTACGGCATCCACACTGTCTCCTAAGTGCTTTAAACCTACGGAATTCACTTTGCTTCCAAAACCTCATTTTATAATGATAGTTTCAATTGGGAGGTCAGTTACCATCATTATATTTTCAATCCTCCATATCTGTTCTGTAACTTGAGAAAGGTTTCTTGGAATGAAATTAACTATTCTACAGTTTTATATTGTTGATACCTATGTTGAGTACAATACTGGAATCATCATTATCTGTATGTTTTGTCACAGTTGTTTCCCCTGAATGATTCAAAAATTTTGGTTGAGGCAAACGTCACCTTCAGGGAGTACAGTATCTAGTTAATAATACAGTATTTTGTTATTGA